ACACTGCAGGGGTACTGGGCACACTGCAGGGTACTGGACACACTGCAGGGGTACTGGGCACACTGTGGGGGTACTGAGCACACTGCAGTGTACTGGGCACACTGCAGGGGTACTGGGCACACTGCGGGGGTACTGGGCACACTGCAGGGTACTGGGCACACTGCGGGGGTACTGGGCACACTGCGGGGTACTGGGCACACTGCAGGGGTACTGGGCACACTGCAGGGGTACTGGGCACACTGCAGGGTACTGGGCACACTGCGGGGGTACTGGGCACACTGCAGGGTACTGAGCACACTGCAGGGGTACTGAGCACACTGCAGGGTACTGAGCACACTGCGAGGTACTGGGCACAGTGCAGCATGCTGGGCACACCTCCTGAGTGAAGGCTCCACTACAACTTAGACTTTACCTAACAAACGCAAATAGTGTAACCTAACTGTACCTTCATATTAATCTCATTATTTGAAAAGCATTAGTGACGAGGTGTGACTGTGACACCAGGGCAACTGGGATATGGACCAGAACTTTAGGAGCTTCCGTCACGGTGGCGGAGGGAACATCTCCGGCTTCCTCTTATGTCAGCTGCTAGATGCTAAAATCATAGTGGCTGACACGATTCCAGGGAGTGCACTTAATGTTGTGTGGTGCCAAACACATCAAAGGAATTGTGTTTATGCCCGGGAGACTCTAGCGAATCCCCTACAGGGATTCAGCTCACTTATTTAAAATACGAAACTGGTATGTGCGTAGCTTGTAGGCCACCGACCTGCCAGCCTTGCAGTTCACACTGCTGGAGGACGAGCCGACATCTCCCCTCGGCAGACGGCTCCTTCTTCTCACACAGCGACGTCACCGCCAGTGGCTTGTATCTGTGAGAGCAGCACGGAAGAAAAGCTATGAGTGGATTTGCCAAGCAAATGGTTCTGTGCCACAGCGCTGATTCCTCACACACTCTCTCGAGGTTCCCCCATCTGACTTCATCCCAGAGAACCCTATCCCCTCTACGGTGCATTGCCAGGTGGCTGGGAATTCCCTGACCTTCTACAGGGAAAATGATTTTTACAACGAGTAAAATAAATTGTTGAGTCCTCAGTGTCTGTCATTGTCATGGAGTCATTTAAACTAAAGAAATGACCAAAGAAAACTCGAAGAGAATGAAAGTTATTCTATTAGTTGTCATTCAAACATTTGCTCCTTAAAAACACCCCTTTTAAGAAACTGAAGCATTCCTCATGACCACCTGAGAGTGGGGACACACGGGGCATCATCGTGAGGGAGTATCAAACGGCCACCGGGCTCATGTGTGACAGAGAGACTATCTCCCTCTCTGTGCATTCGGTATTGAATACTTTAATTCAATTGATCTAATGTAAAACACTTGTATTTTGGAAATTATGAGTGAACTGACAACTGTTTCCTGTTTCATAGCTGAAATCTATGGCTGTACACTAGTTTTTTACTGACTTTTTTCAGAAATGACTTTCAAAATTATATCACCCATTTAAAAAAAAATCTATGTAAAATTTCTTTTGCACTTGTGGTATTTAGCCTGACATACAGGCAAGGCTGCTCTGGGGAGGTGGAGGGGGAGGCAAACAGAAGGAGATGAGCCGAGATCCACGCAGCCACATCCTGGGGTGTTTACGCTTCTCGCATCGGGCCGCTCTGTAAGCTGATGGAAACTCAATGCCAAAACCCACATCGCTACGTCTCCTGGTATTTCCAGCATAATACTTCAGTGTTTTATCTAACAGTCAATGTAGCACATTCGGCATCTTCTAAAATGGGATTTTATTTTTTTTTTATTTCCTTGGTAAAATTAAGTAAGGGAGTGTGTTGCCCGCAAATTGTCTCTTAACATCTTCCCTCCAACCAAGCAGCAAGAGAACTGGACGTGTCCCGTGGAGAGCCGCCCCCGGGTCCCCCATGGACACGCAGAGAACTGGACGTGTCCCGTGGAGAGCCGCCCCCGGGTCTCCCACAGATACACACATTTATTTCTGCAAGTGCTTTGGGTAATAAGGGCCTCATATTGGGCAGAGCAGCAGTGACTATGGGTTCTTTGTACAGGATTTACTGAGGAAATGCACCTGTTAGGGACTGAATGTGTCTCGCAAAATCCCGACCCACAATGTGCTGGTGACAGGAGGTATGGCCTTGAGAGGCGAGTAAGGTGTGTGTGGAGCCGTCACACATGGGGTTATGCCCCAATGAGGTGCCAGACCAGACTTCTCTGTGCCATGTGAGCGCACAGCAGGGAGGCGCCGCTGTGGGCCAGGAAGGAGACCCCACAGACGTGGGGCCTGCCGACAACCTGACCTTGGACTGCTCACCCTGCACCCCGAGAAGAATGCCAGCTTTTACAGGCCACCTTGTCTGCGGTCTTTTGTTGTGACAGCTTGAACTGACCATGAGGTTCCTACTTAGCTGTTCAGAGGACATTTCTTATTTCTTCTCTTAAACCCTTAGTATTCTCACTGAAAAATCAGTACATTATTTTTCCTGGATTGAGAATCTTTTGCCATCATCATGCCAGTCATGAGCAGCCACAGTGACTCCATCAGCCCATCCTTCTCGAGGATAGACTCCAGCTCATGTACCTACTCAGGACACAGAGGCCAGAAATAGAGCAAAGACAGGACATGGCAGAGACAGAGCACGGACACTGTTGAAACCAGCACTGGAAGGGCGGAGAAGTCTTACTCATTGTTCTGATGACACCAGAGGGATTTAAATGCTTTGTGGAAGCCCATGGTTTCCCATGTTTCTTTTTTATAGTTGACACGAATGTGATTATTTATATGCCAGTCACTGAAGTTGATGCCTGTGTCCCCCTCCCCATTCCTCTTCCACCCCCAGGCTTATTGTGGTTGTCACAGAAGATAAAGAAGAATTTCCAGTGTCTAGAAGAGCAGGGGAAATCGGCAGAAGAGAGTGTGCACAGAGTGCCAGGAACTGTGCTCAGGGCAGTGCCTGGGACCGAGGGTCCAGGGTGTCCCCTAAGGGTTCGGCGTCACGATATCAGGACATCTTAGAGGCATCGTGGACCAGGTTTACAATGTTCACGTGGTTTAAAGGAGACAAAAGTGATATAATTATCCAATGTGTTCAAAGAGGAAAGAAGCTAGGTTAGAAATCTGAAATCTGAGCTCCAGGTTTCACTTCCTTCTAAACTTGCTGTGACGCCCTGGCAATCTCCTGTAGGTCATTTCTGCCTCCCTCAGTAGCGCCCCTGTGTGTTTCTGGGGATGAGACACAAATTCTAGTCTGTGTTACCAGCTCCCAATGACCTTGCAGCAAGCTCCCCCTGGGAACGGGGATGCTTTGCACACTCCGTGCTGTCTGCTACACGGCCTGGTACGGAGCAGGTGCAAATAAAGGAGAAGGAGCCAAGACACGAGAGAGAGAGCGAGGACACCTCAATGCTCCCACCTACACCTCTTGAGCAATGAATGCTCAAGGGGGGTGTCATGTCACTTTGCAGACCCTCCCTGGTGTGGGACCTGCATGGCCATCCTCTTTTGATGGTGAGGAAGCTGGTGCTCACAGCAGGTCACCAGCTCAAGTTCACAAAGATGGCCTCACGGGTTGAACTGTGTCCCTGAAAGGATGAGTGAATGTGACCTTATTTGGGAATAACGCCTGTGCAGGTGTTTAAGGTGAGCTCATTAGGATGGGCCCTAATCCAGAAGGACTCAGGCCCTTAAAAGGGAAATGTGAGACGCAGTGGAATGGCTGGGAATGGAGCAGAGGCCAGAGGGATGTGCCATAGGTGAAGGAGTGTCCAGGACCGCTGGTCACCACCAGAGCTGGATGAACCAAGGAAGGTCTCTCCCCAGACTCAGGGGAACTTGGCCCTGTGACACCCAGGCACTTCCAGCCTTGAGAACTGTGAGAGTGAAGGTCTGTTCATCTCAGTCGCCTCTTTTCATTTTGCTGTTCTTCACAGAGAGGCTCTAGGACACTGATAGAGAGGGCAGAAGTGGCTGCGCTGCCAGAGTCCCACCAGCGCTACCACACAGCTGAGAACTAACAGGCCCCAGAAGGTTCTAGAGTGGGAAAGGAAGAGATGGGTCTGAAAGAACTGAAATGGTAAAACTCAACAGTAATCATCGTCTTGGACACGACTACCTGGTTGGCTGGCCTGGGGGTGAACTAGAAGTCAGAATGAAAGTCGACTCATTCATGCCCTCAGGAAAACAAACACGTTTCCACTGTTCAGCGGGAGGCACACAGTGAAGTGAAATCACTTAAATTATCTTTTTATTCTCTCTGATAATTGTCTCATTCTGGAACTTAGTTAATTATAACCAAGAATTTAATTGATATAATTCAAGCATCTGAATATAGTATTAACAAGTCAGAACAAAAAGTCTTGTACTTGGTGCTTTTTTTCTCATTTTATATTGTTCTTTTGACACTTAAAATGGTATAATTCTGACATTTCAACTGAAAAGAGAAAAAAATAACATCATCTTAGGGTGCGATACTCCATTTTAGTGTTATGTAAAACAGCCTGTCTTTGAAGCCTGAGTGTCATCACCTATAGGCAGTGTGCTGGTCTAGGAGAACATGGTCACCGTCTGTCACTGAGTTCACACATGTCGTTCCAGCAACTTCCACCTGAGACCATATGGTGGCAACAAGCCCAGAGCAGTGAGTGGGTCTAGAGCTGGGCAGCGGCAGCTGCACGGGTCAGCTCTCCTTCCCCACACCCCCAGCATCACTCACCCCAGACAGGTCACCTTGACCCCCTGAAGACCCCTATACTCGGCTCCCACCTGCTCTCTGTCTCAGATAAACCAAACGACTCTGCCAAGTAGGCATGAACCTTGCCGGGTTGTCTTGCCATTTCCTGGGATGGGATGGGGGCACAAGTGAAGTCTAGATCCACATCTAAGGTCAGGGTCTCACGGCTCATCAGCTCCAGCTCAGCCAATTCACTCATAGTGACTGATCACAGAGCATGTGCTGGGGACTTTCTGGGGGCTGGACGTGTGGAAGTGAAAACAGGCAAAGTCCTTTGTGATAGAGAGAGAAAGGGTAAGACAGTAAGGAAGGGAGTGCGTTCAGCATAGAGATGCAGAGAGACAAAGCAGGGAAGCCCTGACTGCAGGAAACACCTGCAGAGCAGAAAGAGGCTGTGGACTCTCAGGGAAACAAGAATCCAGGTGAGCGGCCACGGGACCCGGGACTGAGCGGGGGCAGTGCAGGCCTGTTCTGGAGTGTCAGTGGGTGGGTGTGGCTGGAGAGGAGGAAATGGGGAGGCAGGAGTCAGACAGGTGAACACTGTGGGGCAAGGGTCAGATGTGCAGGTTAGGGTTGGGGTTAGGTTTGACTCCAATTACTGGGGAACGGGGTTGGAGAGAAGGAGCCCCATCACTTGACTCTAAAAGCATAACTAAGGTCAGGCGTGGGGGCTCACATCTGCAATTCCAGCACTCAGGGAGGCTGAGGCAGGAGGTTCACATGAGGTCAGGAGTTCAAGACCAGTCCAAGCAAAGCTAAACCCCATTTCTATCAAAAAAACAGAAAAATTAGCCAGGCATAAGGTCACATGCATGTAGTCCTGGCTATTGGGGAGGCCGAAGCAGGAGGATGGCTTAGAGTGTGAGGCTGCTGTGAGTTAGGCTGAGGCCATGGCACTCCAGCCAGGGCAACAGAGTGAGACTCTGTTTCAAAAATAAATTAAGTAAATAAATAAATAAAAGCTTCACTGAGGCCACTAGGCTGAGGGGGCTAGAGAGGGGTACAGGTTCCCAGTCCAGGGTAGAAACATTGGGCCAGACTGTGAGGACAGCAGTGGCAAAATCTCATTGGACACAGCACATATTTGGGTCACCCCAGTAGGATTTTCTGATGGATGGAT